ATCTTTCCAATGTCATCTTCAAAGATCTCGGATATCCCTTCAGATTTCATATCTTGCTCTGGTTAAGTCAAGCCTGATACAAAGGGGTACAAGTCTTTCCCAGAGTCGAGTTATTTCACGACGGCTTTGTCTTTTGTCCACCTTCTTTGGTTGAGAACATTGCTAATACTGTCAAACCTAGTGTTAGCAAGACCTCTGGTTTTGGACCTAACTCTTATCCAAGGAAAATTAGAGTCGTCTCAACTCTTTGTCTAAGGAGAATTTGTTCATTTGTTTTGTTCTATCTCTTTGGATCAGCTCCAGCAAGAAGGGAATAAAGCACCTACTGTTTTCAAGGTTACTGTAAGGAAAAGATATGTCCGTCCAACAAATCTTATTGTCCTTCAAAGGACATGAAGAGATCAGCTGATTCTCGTCCGAATTTTTCTGTTGGCAAGAAAGCCCAAGTTGGAAAGGGTATGAAGTAGGTTAAGTGACGTGTTGACCCCTTCGTTAGATCTACCCACTAGAAGAGGAAATATTGCCTGTCCATCTTCCAGTTGGGGCAAGCTTTTCCACTTTCGGCCGGACCAATGGTCTCTGATAACATTAGACAATTAGTTTCTGATTTTACGGAGGGGTTTGGAACTTTACTTTGGAACAGCCGCCTCTTTCTTCTGTTCCAACCGATCTGTCTCTGACAAACGATTCTCAAAAGAATCATTTGTTGCATGACGAATTATGAATGTTCTAGTTCTAAAGGGTGTGATGGAAGAGATCAATCCTCCTTTCCGTGTAGGTTTTTATTCCTTTCTTGTCTTGGATACCAGGATGAAAGGGAAAATTAGACTGGTTCTAGAGCTTTTTGCTCTGAATCAGTATCTGGTGGTCCCACACTTCAAAATTGAAACCAACGTGTCATCAGGTCTCCTCTTCATTCAGGGATTTGGACGACATCTCTAGACTTGACGGATGCATATTTTCACATCCCGGTTTCTCTCAAGTTTCGCCAATTCATGGTTTGGCCAGGCAAAGTGTACAGTTTCAAGGCTATGCATTTTGGACTTTCTACTGCTCCACTAGTTTTCACCAGGATTTTGTAGACAGTGGTATCTTACCATCATTTTGAGGCGGTGCTTATATATTCCTACCTAGACAATTCGGGCCACTCAACAGCAGTGGCTTACCTTCAGAATCAAGGGAGAACTCATTCGTTTACTTCTGAGCAAGGAAATTCTTCTGTGTAGTAGTCTCGAGACAATAACATCAGTGAGACATGTTCCCGGTAGTCAAGATATTCTGACAAATCCCCTATCTTGTTCACGTATTCCAGTGAACACCGAATAGGAATTTCTTCCATCAATGTTTCAGGAGATCACTCTTCGGTGGGGTCGTCCTATAGATAAACTCGTCATAGACATTTTGTATGTCAGACGCGTGTTTCGTCTACAAAAGATTCATCATTGATACTCAATCAAAAAAGTTTAACATGCCAAATAAAATACGATGTTGGAGAGCATTGAGAACCCAAAATTCCGAAAGGTTTTGACAAATACAGCTAATGTAATAAATTCCTGGGTTAGAAAATCCTTAGTATGTCAAAAAATAACCATATCAATGATTCTTCATGTCAACACAGAGGTGTTGACTACTGGGTTGGTGATCGATCTTTTTGCGCCTGTCACCTGTCATAAGTTGGAGACTTATGTTTCCCTAATTACGGACGAACAATATAGGGCAGTAGATGCTATGACCCTATATCTTATATGGGAATATTCAGTTACATGTTTCCCCCTGTTCGTCTTCTTCCCACAAAATTCAGAGGGATCGTTGCAAGACCATTCTTATTGATTTGGCATACCCAAGACGGTCGTGGTTCTCAGAACTTCTTCTGTTTTGTGCCAAGCCATTTCGTCTTCCTTTTAGGACATACTATCTCAATTTAAGGAAAGAAAAGGTTTTATCAGGGTCTGGAAAGTCCTCTCTCAGTTACTGTGCAACAGTTCGTAGATTGTTTCCATCGTCTTTTTTAAGACAAAGGTTATGCCTCGTCTACTTATATTAATTTAGAGTAATAGATCTGCCATAGCTAGAACTTTATCTCTTTTACGAGGTTCAGACTTTGGCGATTATGAGTTTGTCCTTGTTGATCAAAACTTTTGCCTTGAAAGACCTGATCAAAGGCGTTTAAAGATTTAATCATGTGAACTTTCCTTTCTATGTAGCAGCATTTGAGCAGCGCCTGCATGTGGAATATATATCTCGCAGTTGATACGATGTTCCCGGGCTTGCATTTCCTATCATGATTTCCTTGATAGAGGTTGCTTCTCACAATGAAGCTATTAAACCAAGAGTAACAAGTAGTAAAGTTGAAATCATCCCTTCGTAAATGTTTTGCGGTTTGCATGTTGTGTCGATTATTATATTATGTGTTTGTGCGTTTCTCTATGATGAGTGTTTGTGCTGTATTTCTGTCACGTAGTGTTGTCATTTTAGCGATGTATTTTTTGAACATTGCCATGTAAGTGGGAGGTTTGACTAGCCATAAAACCAGGTTCAACCCACCATTTTTTCTTAAAATGTCCTGTACCAAGTCAGGAATATGGCAGTTGTTATGAAATAGTTCGTTTCTATGTATGTTGACGTTTGTTTTTGTTGCACTTCAGTATTCCTGTTGTTCCTTTGTTTTCCTCTTATAGTTGACGTGTTTCCCTCGGTTTTAGTTTGTAACCCGGATTTGTTTTCTTTCAATCGATTTATGACTTTTGAACACCGGTATACTACTGTTGCCATCACGTGTTGCTTGACCGTTATGGAATATCTGTTTCACAGATGACGAAAGATATGTTCCAATTTTAATAGTGCAAGGGGTAAGGAAGTTTAGTGTTTCAACTCGTTTTTATTTACAGTAAATCATTGATAGTTTCATATTATAATCTGAATACATGACCTCGTATGCAAGAGCATTTTGAGGCCTAAGTTTAGCAGTACATATTCTTCAACAGGGCCTCCTTGGTCGATATCCACGTTTTTATACATGCAGTTATTAGGCACTTGTTTTGCTATATTTCGTTGTTAACAGTATAATTTAGCTCACATATCCTAAAATGCCAATATCATTTTTTTTCTTTACTTAGTGTTTGTTGTCTCGTCCATTGAGTGTTCCTTTGTCACTTAAAAGGCTAATTTACAACAATTGTGCAAATGTTGACCAACCTAAGCCTGTATCTTCATTAGCCCTACTTAAAATTTTATGTACCGTGCCCCTGTCTCGAGTTTACATAACCGCTACTGCTTATAAACTGCTATGAGTATGCTTGATGCGTCAGTCGACTCCCTCGCAATCGTTAGCAATTGTATTGGGAATAATCTGAAAAATACTGATCTTTAGTTCATCTGGCCTAAACACAGTCGTTGTTTAGATTTGTTGATTTTAAGTGTTGAAGTAACTTTTTGCGCTCTTTCCTGTACCATAAAGGACATTTTTTTCTGGAGGAGAAAGACGCAATTCTTGGAGTAAACGTACGACCTTTGGCAGGAAACTGGCAATCCTAGTCAAAGAAGTTCGGAGTCAAACGCACCTTGCTATTAGCGGGGTTCGAAATAACAACCTCAATGTAGACATGCTAGTGATTACTGTAGATGAGCCATTCGGTCACCGAGACCCCTGGTGTTGGTTATATCTAAAATATATTCATTGTTATATTATATCCGAGTGTATGCCTCTTATAAGCTGATTGGCTTGCATTCAGTTCTGTCATACTCAATTACGCAGATGGGACATTTTTTTAAGTCTATATTTGTTTTAATGCTTTATTCGGCACAATGCGCATCTACATACGAATAGACTTGACAACTGACGAGTTTATTTATATTTGATTACTTTAACATATCAGGTTCCAAAAGTGTGGATTAAAAGACGGCGAGTTACAGTTTTTGACAGTTTATAGTATATTCTCAATACACTTTAGCATAGCTAACATAGATCTAGGTAGTTGTAAGTTTAGAGAAGTAACAAATACTGTTATTGCAGGACTATAATCGTTTTTAATTTTTACTTTTCCGATTACCGATAAAAAAGTGCAATATCTTGGACCATGAGGAAAAGGTAATACTTAGATCAATTTCTTCTGTTTGTATTGCTCAGACAGAATGCGAGAGTATAAAAACCCTAGTAGAATTTAAATTTTAAAAAGGTTGTGTTTTCGTCTTTTTTAGACCGGAAGCTGTTATTCAAATAATGGTACAATGATATTTTAACTCGCCTAAACAATATGACCAGATATGTTGCTCTTATTTTGCATCATCGTCCTTTGAATTATTTATAAAAATTAGTATTTATATTACTTATTACATGAATTATACATTGGTTCGTATTTTTTCAAATATTTTCACTCCTACTTAAGAAAAAAGAAATTTTTATGAGATTCTTTATGATGAGACTTTGTGACGAGTCAGTTTACGTTGTATAAATTTGCTCGTGGGTCAAAAAAATCCGTCAAGAAATACAAATTAAGCAACGACCATTCATCCGTGTGTGATGGGGGTGTTTTTTGTCTCTCGAGATCAACTAACAATTTTTCGACTTTATTATTCCAAAATAAAACCAACTGTATTTTTTTCAGTAACAAACAGGGACAATATTTTTGTAAACTCAATGTCGTGTTTATTTATCTTCCTAAGTTTTAATGGAAACAAACGATTTTTCACAAAATATTTATTTACAAGAATATTTGAATCAAACAAACTTTTAATCTTTTCCTCTTCTGATTTTTTTTTTTTACAAAATTCGAATGGTCGGTGTCTGATAATAACACAAAACACACACACATACATAAAACCCAATCAAGCCATTGATCATGTTATACTTGTATGACTAATCACTTTGAGTGCTTGTGTAATTATATTATTGTAGGAAGGAAATAAGCATAAGTATATAACAACCAATCCTATTACGTTTCTGGATCTAAATATAGTATAAGTTGAAAGACAGCCCCATTTATCTATATTTGTTTAGACTGGACAAATCAGCATGGCTACATAGTAATGACGAAAACAAGTGTGGTCAAAACTATAAATACTGATAGTCGTTAAAAAAATAGTATGATTTCATTTGAAAAGGTGAACGATATATTAAAAAGATATGGGACAGTTAATATCAAAGATATATACACTAGTTTCAGGATTATCAAGTTCAGTGGCAGCGAATATTGTAATGCTGGGTTTGGATGCATCAGGTAGACATTACTTTCTAATTTAATGTACAGACATTATTTTAAGATCCCACTTGATGTTTTATGATTTACAAAAAACCTAGGAGAATAAGATGGGTGAGTTACAAATATGATATGATAGTCGATCTTTCCATTGACAGAAACTAGTGCTTGTGCTTGTGAGAGTCATGCATGGTCTTACATAATTGGAACTCCCAAAAGCATAGAAGCAGATTAATTCAGCAGGAGTGGATAGTTGTCTCATTGGCAATCATACCACATCTCTTTATTTTTATATAAACTCGTAACATAACTCGAGTCGCAAAGCAACACCTATCGTGTTTAATGTACGTTTTACTTATCTGTATATTTTCTCAATTAAATTTTATTAATTGTGACTTATCTTGTAACTGTTGTATCACATTCATATTTCAAAGAGGAGGGTACGTATATAAGCTTTAGCCTGCTATCCATTCCATTACAGTTCTGAATATAATTTCAAAGAGAGTCCCGCCTTCAGAATATCATAGTTGTCTTTAACATGTTTTGCAGGAAAAACAACTATACTGTACAAGATAAAACTAAACGAAACCGTTAAAACAATACCTACAGTAGGATTTAATGTAGAAACAGTGGGCCCATTCAAAGGTATTAACCTCACAGTATGGGACATTGGTGGTCAAGAAAAAATCAGACGGTTATGGCAGCACTACTTGAAAAGTGCAGACGGTAAAACTCTTAAAATTATTAAACTGAGAAACAATTAACAAATTGTCTTGTTTAGGATATACTTCATAAGATATCTTAAGAATTTTCATCCAAATCCATAGTCAGAACAGTTTACGCTTCAACTAAAAGAGCAGGCAAAAATGAATTCTCTATATTTGAGACAGAACCTGAATAATATATTATACGAAATTAAATATTTAAGCAAAAAAGAATTAAGTAAGTTGAAAGGAAGTTTGAAATTGATATTGCAATAAAATGGCATCATTTGTGTATGTTTGTGGTGACTATAAAAGTTCAGAAGCTATTTCGATATTCTTGTTTTCTCTTTGAAAATAGTAAACAAGAATATCAGAAATCCATAGGATAATTAATCGATTTATACAGCTTTCATAGGACCTACGAATGAGAAAATGTGCCTAATTAAAAATGACATAGGGGAAAATAAACTGATATATAGACTGAAAAAAAATCACTAAACAAAGATCTAAATATAGACAAATCGAAAAAGCTATCTAATAAACAGAAAAAGCTTACTCTTACCCAGGCTTAAAGAAAGAAAGAAACACACAAATAAAGACTACAAACAATTATCAGACATGAAACACATGAAAAAACGAACAACTCTTCAAACTGAGATAGGCACTCCATGAAGAACGTTTAGCGGGAGTTATGGGTTGCATTTTTAACTGATGGATATTGTCATAGTCAAATTATGAATTGTCAAAGAAAACATTTAAAGTGTTGGAAATACATTGATTGTCTCAATTTTAATTTATTTTACAGGACTTATTTACGTTGTCGATAGCAATGACAAAGACCGACTATGTGAAGCTAGAGAAGAACTTTATGGTATATTGAATAGTGAGAATATGAGAAGTGTGCCAGTCGTTGTTATAGCAAACAAACAAGATATGCCTGGTATGTTTATATTTGATAGAAAAAATGATTTATATCGACTTAAGTCAGAGAAAAAAAATTAAGTTAAAACATGGAAATTGTTGATTTTTATTTATTTTATGCTTCTGAGAGAACGGGGACATACATATAATTCTATGAGTTTATCGCTACCATTATTTTATCATTTTTGTTGTAAAATATATCAAAATCAAACACTTACATATTATGTATAACAATATTAACCGTGTCGATCGTCAAAAATATGTTCGATTATATCCTACAATTTTTTTCATTTAATTATTCATTTCAATGACAAAATATAAAAATCAAAATAAACACAAAATCTAAATCGAAAGCTATTGACAAGGAGAAGATGCTCAAAAGACACAGTAATTTACATAAGCACATTTAAAACGAACAAAGAACATCCTTTACCTGACAAATAAGCACATAATCCGCGGGCGGACCACAGTACTTAGCATTAATTTCATTTGTCCTCGTAAAGATATTAATTACATTGATAAAATTGCTCATGAAAACAGAAAAAAGTATTAAAATAAGCTTATTTATCCATGTGTTATCCTTGTTATTGCAGGTGCTATGGATCCTTCGACAGTTGCAGATGGTTTAGATTTGAATAGAATAAAGCAAAGACAATGGAAAATCCAAGGAGCCTGTGCAAAAACAGGGGATGGTTTATTTGAAAGCATGAAAGCGATGAGCGACTTAGTAAAAAGTTACATAAATAAGAGCTTATTAGAAGAAAAAACAGATCAGTAAAAATGAACAGTCCATATGTAATGGTCAACACAACGAACATGGATAAACAACTGTTCTTACTGAAAAAAGCCAGATCAGTATAAATAAACAGTCCGTATGTAATGCTAATCAAAACGATGATGATTTTTAAAAACAGATCAGTAGAAATGAACAGTCCGTATATAATGATAATCAAAACGAAGATGATTTTAAAAACAAATCAGTATAATGAACAGTCCGTATGTAATGGTCAGCATAACAAAGAAGGATTAACGAATGTTCTTACTGAATGAACTGTATGTGTATATTATAGAATAACGATGAACAAAATCTGTATTATACACTGAAATGAATAGAAGCTTTTGCTTAAAAAAACAAGAGTGCACACGCTGAAATGTCTCGCCTACTATACTGACCATTGATTTTATGTTGATAGTCCTAATTATAAAGTTTTACTACACGTACCACATTAACATTTATAATCCAAGAAAAAAGATCAAGGTCAGTTAAACCAAGCCGGAAATACATGTACACCTTTGTTACAATCATTCCATACAGCGAATATAGATGACCTATTGCTTATAGTATAAAAGAAAGAGACCAAACCATGGAAATTTTACATTGACCAATGAACCATGAAAATGAGGTCAAGGTCAGATGAACCCTGCCAGACAGACATGTACACCTTAAAATCATTCCATGCATCAAATATAGTTGACCTATTGCTTATGGTATCTAAGAAACAAAGTTAACCAGGAAAACTGAACATTGACCAATGAACCATGAAAATGAGTTGAAGGTCAGATGATACCTGCCAGACAAACATATACACCTTACAATGATTCCATACACAAAACATAGTTGACCTATTGCTTAAAGTTTAAGAAAAGCAGACCAAAACACAAAAATTTAGCATTAACCAATGAACCATGAAAATGTGGTCAAGGTCAAATAAAACATACCAGACTGATATGTACATCGTAAAATATTTCCATACACAAAATATAGTTGACCTATTGCATACAGTATTCGAAAAACAGACCAAAACACAAAAACTTAACATTGAGCAATGAACCGTGAAAATGAGGTCAAGGTCAAATAAAACCTGCCAGACTGACATGTACATCAAATATAGTTGACCTATGCATACAGTATTGGAAAAACAGACCAAATTACAAACACTTAACTTTTACCACTGAACAATGAAAAAGAGGTCAAGGTAAGATGACACCTGCCAGTTGGACATGTACACCTTACAATCATTACATACACGAAATATAGTAGACCTATTGCTTGTAGTATCTGAGATATGGACTTGACCACGAACACTAAACCTTGTTCACTGATCCATGAAATGAGGTCGAGGTCAAGTAAAAACTGTCTGACAGACATGAGTACCTTGCAAGGTACGCACATACCAAATATAGTTATCCTATTACTCATTATAAGAGAGAAATAAACAGTACAAAAAATCTCCTTTTTTTTCAAGAAGTCACTGAACCATGAAAATGAGGTCAATGACAATGGACATATGACAGACGGAAACTTCTCATATCATAAGGTATCTATATACAAAGTATGAAGTATCCAGGTCTTCTACCTGCTGAAATATTAAGCTTTTAAGAAGTTAGTTAACGCCGCCGCCGCCGGATCACTATGCTTATGTCGAGCTTTCTGCGACAGAAGTCGCAGGCTCGACAAAAACCACAGTACAGCACAACACAACAGATGGTATGGGTTTTGTTATTGATTTTTAAGTAAAAATTAAAGAGTGTTTTTTAGTTTGCATGACACTGAAGATTCTGAATTTATGGTTTGCTTCATGTTATCTGTAATGAATTCGCCAGAAAAGTAATTTGAAACAAATCTCTGTTTGACAAGTTTGCAAGTTTTTATGATGACTTGGTCCAATTAGTATTGGGACATGGAGTATGTGCTGTCAATATTACAGTATAAGAAGTCAGACTTTATATATCAGCAGATTAGATATTTTGTGATTATTGCTTTACTAGAGTGTTTGTTATTTGTAACACAGACATTATTAATCAAAGTAATTGTTAAATTTATTAAACTGTCCTTTTGAAAACTTGTTTTGATGTCTTGTCGTTGTTAGAACTGTTTAATTTATCAACTTGTCCACACTCGTGTCGATTCAGGTCTTGATATATGGTATGGACACTTTCCTATCATTGAAGTTCGCATGACCTCAATATTGTAGTGATTTCGTAGTTTTTGTAGTTCTCCAAACAAGCGTTGCGAAAGTTGCGCTTTGAACGCTTATATTCGTTGGTCCCCTCTTATCACGAAATTTAACAAAGGAGTAGGTCCGGTAAGGGCCGTTTTTGGCCCCAAATTTCAGGTTCATCTAATGAAAGATTTTGGACACTTTTTAAACATTTAAGTGTCTACTTTAGTAGAATCAATTTAATTATGTGAAAGATTTGAACTGATTTAGTCATTAAAAACGCTCATATTCAAGCTTAAATGTTATAAATCTATCAAATATGCCATAATATGTCACTTTTCAGATGGTTTTTGTCAAAAATGAAAGTGGCCGCATCCGTGTTCATCCTCAACCTTTATATATGTTATGTATTATCATCAAATACAACTTACATTTAAATATTAAGAATGAACACAAATGCGGCCACGTCCATTTAAGACGGAAACCATCTAAAAATTAACTCAAATGCTAAAATTATGAAGATTTCAGTAATTTAGCATGACTTAATGATGCTAGTACCCGATAAATATGCATTGTATTATCAAAAACAGCCCATATGTATGTAACAGAAGTATTCTACTTTCAAATGAATAGCTAAAAGTTTACATTTTAACAATTTTGTAAAACTGCTATATTTTGGGGCCAAAAAGGGGTCTTACTGAACCTACTCCTTTGTAAGAAAAATCCAAGAAATGACAATAAATCCACAGTATAATGCAAACAAATTACTAATACGAATATGTGTAATTATACACTTATTTAGGAAGGAAATGACGTACACTCAATTTTACCAACTGCGTTAAATATAATTATAAATATCTGATACTTTCCGTTTTGTACTTTGTCTATAACATCTGTGATGTTAACTACATTGGTGATTGCAAAAAATGATACAAATTAAAAAGAAATATTGGAACTTCTATATAGAAATTGGGTTTTGCTTTGAGCCAAATTTTTCTCTGCAGCTTTAGCACCGTGTAGAACGCCACATGCGGGGTGTTGGCTATTTTGACACGGCAGTTTTGAAGCGGAGAAAAAGCGATCAAGGTAAGTAAAAGTATCCAAATTTCTTTTTTTGAGAATTGTAAGTACTAAATAATGTATTGCACGGAAGGAATCGAACCATAATCTCTTTCCAGCAAGTAGAAGTAGACATTTCCAGTGATCCGTTTTCTCAAAAACCTCTCCCTAGTTTTCCGAGTTGCAGATTTTAATACTTCATATGCAAGTTTCAGGATAAAAAACTACTTTTGGCGATTTTTCCCCGTATGATTTATATAGAAATTAATTCCAATCATAGAATTTGACCAAATGCCAGCTTCTTAGTCAACATTTATTGGTTTTAAAGTTAATTGTTCATCGAAATGTAATGTGTCGCTCGGGGTGTCAGATTTTGCGTCTCAAGGGGGTGAGGCATTTATCAAAACAAGGATAGATTTGCTTATAATTCGGTCTTTATCTGATATTTTATTACTCAAACACACCTACTCTGTTCTGATTACTCATTACAAACTTTAGGTATTTCATTTGGCCCATATTTTAGTTTTTAAAGTAATGCTCATTTTTTAATGATAAAAATAGAAAAAAAAAGCCTCAAAGTACTTTGTTTAATACCTGAACATGTTTTGTTTTCCTTTTCAGTTAATACTATATGGTCAGGAAGAAGTCACGGATATAGCTTAATGCAACAAAACAGGGAGCAAAATCACAGAGCAGACCTCTGTTTAAGATTTGTCCGAAGCCTAAGTCACAATTTTTCTCTACAAAGCACGCAGCAAAAATAAAAACCTACTCCGAAACGAATTCGCTTACTCACTCCACAGAAAATACTTTCCAGCATCCATATTTACAAATGACAACAAAGCTTTAAGGTTCATCATAACCTTTTACCAAATATGGCCGTATTTACACCACAAATTTCATTCTGAGTACAGACACACCTGTGCATATCGAAAAGTTTTAGAGCATGGCTGGACCTTGATATATAAAATTTAAATGCATTTTAAGTTTCAGCATATTAAAAACTTAATTGGATTTTGCTATTCATTTTTTTTTTTCATTCCTGCAGAAGGTGCCAAAATAAACTAAGTTGGGAAAGAGGTTTGAGGTACTCTCCTCATATAATAAATATTGTGAGTTGTAATGATTTAAATGGACAATAGATGGACAATTGACTTCTGCAAACAATAGGTGATTTAAACTGTGTAACTAAGTGGACCGTATCAAATGAAACTCATGTGTTTGTTTATTTTGCTATCTTCTGCAGACTGGAAAACAATGCACATCAAAATCCAGGTAAGTTTTTTATTTTCTAGAACATAATCTTTAATATATCTAGGTCCAGCCATGCATTAAAACTTTTCCTAGATGCATCGGCTTGTCTGTACTCGGAAAAGATTTTATGGTGTAATCACGGCCATATTTTTCAATTCCTTTTGATAAATCTTAAGAAGACCTGAGGAAGATATGTTTTTCTTTATTTCTAACATTAATGACATTAATAAGTGTCGTAAATGAAACTGTATATTCAAGATAGACAACAATTTGCACATCTCTCTTTTAGATCAATACTATAATTCATGTATGAATAATTAAGACAGATAAAACTAGTATTAAAAAGAAAATCAGTAGCTAGATTATGTTCTTCTAGACTTTAAATTACTGTTTTGAAATCGTTTAAAATTGATGTGTCATCTTCTCCAGGTCTTATTAAATCTTTGTTGTCTTTTGTAAATATAGATGCTAGGTAGTATTTCTGTGGAGTGAGTTAGCGAACTCGTTTCGAAGTAGGGTTTATTTTTGGCGGCGTGCGTTGTAGAGAAAACTATTGACTTCGGCTTCGGACAAATCTTAAACAGAGGTCTGCTCTGTGATTTTGCTCCCTGTTTTGGTGCATTAAGCCATATCCGTGACTTCTTCCTGACCATAATAGTAACTGAAAAGGAAATCAAATCATGTTCAGGTATAAAACAAAATACTTTGAGGCTTTTTTATATATCTATCATTAAAAATAAACACTACTTAAAAAACTAAAATATGGGCCAAATGAAATACCTTAAGTTTGTTAAATGTCATCAAAACAGAGTAGGTGTGTTTGAGTTATAATCTATCAGGTAAAGACCGAACTATAGGAAAATCTATCCTTGTTTTGACAAATGCCTCACCCCCTTGAGACGCAAAATCTGACACCCCAAACGACACATTACATTTCGTTGAACAATTAACCTTAAAACCAATAAATGTTGACTAAGAAGCTGGCATTTGGTTAAATTCTATGAAAGGAATTAATTTCTAAATAAATCATACGGGAAAAAAATCGCCAAAAGTAGTTTTTATATCCTGAAACTTACATATGAAATCTCAAAATCTGCATAACGATAAAACTAGGGAGAGGTGTTTGAGAAAACGGATCACTGGAAATGTCTACTTTTGCTTGCTGGAAAGAGATTATGGTTCGGTTCCTTCCGTGCAATACATTATTTAGTACTTACAATTCTCAAAAAAGAAATTTTGATACTTTTACTTACCTTGATCGCTTTTTATCCGCTTCAAAACCGCCACCCGTGTCAAAAATAGCCAACACCCCGCATGTGGCGTTCTACACTGTGCGATTATGACCAGCGAATATAGGCACGTGACTGTCCCAAGTCAGGAACATCGTCAGTAGTTGTATGTCATATTATCATGTTTGTTTTATTTGTTTTGAGAACAAACCTTGTTTAGGTGTTGATGAAAGAATTTTGATTTATTCTGTTATATATATTATAGCTGACATATACCCCACACCCGCCATTTATTCGGATGTTTTAATTAGACAACGTGGATATATATAACAATGATTAGACAGATGAACCAATATTTTTAAACACGAATCACATGATCAGTTTAGCATTGTTCTTTTCATTCTGGATTTTCAGCCCCATCCTTGAACTCTTACGATTATATAACAAGAGTTAGGATAATAAAATTATAAACAGTAAAAATCAGAGTAACTAAAACTTGATTTTTGTTCTTAAATATAGTTATGTATATATTCATCTCAAATTTTGCATCTAGTTACAACAATCAAAAACTTAATTAGAAAATATTTGAAATGAAAATAGATGAATATGGAAAAATAATTCGTTGGTTAACGACTGTCATATTTATTTTGTTATTCGTTTATTGTTGTAGTAAAACTGGTTTTCTCTTTAGAATTTTTTAATGCTTTCATTCCGACGCCTGTTACGGGTACGATGACGATATGGTTTTGCTTATTGTTGATAGCCGTACGGTGACAAATAATTGTTCAAATATTTGTCCTTTGGTTTTTCTAAATAGTTGTTTCATTGGTAATTAATCCAAATTTCGTTATTTTTAAATCAAATATTTGGTCATCACTGTAGCATTTTCTCTCAAACCGTTGGTCGTGGAATGTATCGTAAGGCGTCTGTCTATTGTTAATGATCGTATTGTAACCTGTACACATATATTTAGCAGTTCATTTGTGTTTTGGTTGCCATGTCATTGATGCTCAGTCTAAATAATCTCATTGTACTCATATTTCATTTTTATGTACAGTTTAACAGACACTGTGAATGTTGATCACTCTGATTTTTTGTTTTTAATTTTCCAGTAAAAACAAATATTTTGTACAGTATAAAAGTTCATGATACTATTCCAGCAGTGCCTACATTTTGGATTTAACGTAGAAACGATGAACCGATTGAAGAGTTTCACCTCTACTAAGTGGATGTACAAGAGAAAATCTGAACATTATGGAGATTTTACATGAAAACTGCTGAAGATATCACAACATATATCAGTCTTCAGCTAGCTAGTTTAGTGAATTTTCATTCCTTAAACGTCACACACCATGAAAAAACGAAAAATATCCTAAGCAAAACGTTGTATTCATTCTGCAGACAAATCATCTCTGCCAAGTAAAAATGAAAGTAAATGAATAGAAATCAAAATCAAACATAAAATGTTTCATTGTGAAATGTCCATCTCGTTGAATATGTAGAATAAGTTTTTGAATGTGATGTGTTGGATCTGTTTTATTACAAATTTTAAAACGAAAATACAGCCTCATTTTAAAAAATACATAACAGCATACACACCTATATAGTTACTTAGTTTGTCATCTATGACTTACAAGTTACTAAAAGCTGCTTTCTTGCCTTCAGTCACAAAGTTCATCACAAAGTTCATCCTTTTATAAAGAATTATCATTTTCTATTTCTCAGCAATTCTCAACATTTCATGAAACTACCAAATACACATCGTAAATTAAGCCGTCAAAAAATTTGCTAAATTTCGACCATACAAGCATCTGCTATCTTATTATCTAGTTTTCTCTTTTCACGTATTTTCATCATCTCACTAATTCCTTTCATGGCTTCATATACGCCATCTCCAGTTGTGCCACAGGTTCCTATAATGTCCCACATTCTGTTCAAGTCATATAGATGCAGACCAGTTGAAATATCGGAAATAGGCATCTTTTCTAAAATAAATTGATTTAAACTGTTATCTATATATATTTATAGTATAAACAACATCAAAAACAACAAAAGTTACATGTATCTTGAATAAACAACAAAAACAAAAAAAATAAATAAATAAATGGGGAATGTGTCCATGGGACACAGATGATGCCCCCGCTTGCACATAACGTTATAAAGGGACATAACTCAGGAACTGTAAAAGTGACGCTACCCAAATTTGTACTTGATCTGAGTTTTGTGGTAATAAGTATTGTTTATAAGTTTTATAAAATTTAGTTGAGAAAAACTTAAGTTAGAGAACAGAAACAAATATTTCAGCAATTTTTCCATTTGTAAAGGGGCATAACTTTAGAACAGTAAAAGTGCCCTCACCAAAATTCACTCTTTATCTGTGTTTTGTGGCAATAAGCATTGTGTATAAGTTTCATAATATTTGGTAGAGACAAATTAAAGTTAGAGAACGGAAACGAAAAATTCAGCAATTTTTCCATTTGTAAAGGGGCATAACTCAAGAATGGTAAAAGTGACGCCCCCAAAATTTAAACTTGATCTGTGTTTTGTGGTAATAAGCATTGTGTATAAGTTTCATAACATTTGGTTAAGGTAAACTAAAGTTAGAGAACGGAAACCAATTGTGGACGTACGGACGTACGTTCGTTCGTACGTACGTACAGACGGACAAGGGTAACACTTAATGCCCCTTCCGCTACGACGGGGGCATAAAAAGCGGTACATAAAGTTCTTAGTGAGAAGTTTAAAAAGCGCACACGTAAGTGCTTATTTTAGAAATGATTAAAACATACATGTAGCCAGAAAGAAAAATAACGAGAAAAATGTTGTTTATCGCTATTTTACGAATTTTTCCTTTGATCTTGCTGACTGATAATTTCCGTTCTCAGCGGAGTCGAGTGATATGAAAACGGAGTCGAGTGATATGAAAATTATCGCTAGAAACTAAGGGAACACGTGCCGTTGTCAAGGAAATTAACAACGTCTTCATAGGTAAAATAGCGATAAACAGATTATCATTGGTCATCTCAACTCGATTGCTTTTCTCGCTTTCGCCGTACCAGCTCAAGCGAGAAAATCAATCTCGTTGAGATAACCAACGATAATCTATAATTATAATATTTATCACTTGTGAGACTCATATCTTATTTCTGAACGCTTTATAACTTTATATGACTTTTATATAAAATAAGACATGATTGTATTGCAGTAACTAAGTTTACTCCGCCTTATTTGTTTATATAGAAAGCATTCAATATACGTTTTGTACAATACAAATTTAGAACATTAATATCCATTGTTTTTTTTATTTTCTAATTTTTTCATAGTTCATATTCTGAATTAAACTCGATGTATTTGAACATTTTGTGTGTGTGTGTGTTTTGCAGCTTATCTTGATCATTGTCGGTTATAATTTTAAAATTCAATCTCGTCTTCGTTGCTTGGGTAGTTTCGTCGTTTGATCCTAAAATAAAGATGTATTTCTAGTTATTTTTCAAGACAAAGTAATATCTAATATAGACGTGTGTATATATTATATGAACAAACGCAACTTTTGACTCTTATTTGAATATATTTTGTTATATTTAAATATCTTACCGAGCATATCTTGCTTGTTTGCCATTACCATTAAAGGAACACCAGCCAATATCTTTTTATTTAAAATGGTATTAAGTTCCACAGAAGCTTCTGCTAGTGTTTCCTTGTTAGTACTATCAACTACAAACACTATACCTGAATGTATTTATATGATTCAAAATTAATACATGATTGCAGATTTAGTCATTTCAAATGAAATAAGCAAAGGAAAATGAGAGGCGAAAGTTACCAAAGGGATATTCAAATTCATAAGTCTAATGGAGTTCTTTCTTTTTTTCAAATAAACACAGATATCGAATAACTGCAACAAACCTGCCTTTTTTTTTAATTTTAAATGGTATTTATAAAGAAATGATAATATTTATTTTCTTTCAATCTTGATGCCATCGCACATTTTGTGTAGGTCTTCCATAGATTGATTATGAAACTACTGTAATTATATTTGCTAATTAAGGCAAAAGGTTTGAAAAATTATAAATTTACCTTTAGATACACTGAAATAATGCTCCCACATACTCCGTAATTTGCCAGGTCCACCAACATCCCATGCTGTGATGTGGACATTTTTACCAATCTTTGCTGTCAGAATTGGCATTCCTACCTGGGAAATCTTCTTCAAGCCGGAATCTAAACCCATGCCTCGCATAATGGATGTTTTACCTGTCGAAAAATATAGAATCTATTTAACGATTAATCATTACACCTTTTTAGATTTTAGGTCTGGTTTACAGACCATATCCGATGAGGACTATTCCGGTAACATGTGTCATGCGTAAAGAAGTTGAAACCATGTCTATCTATTAAGATACTATTGCTTTAAATTAATCTGTCCAATATGATACTATTGCTTTAAATTAATCTGTCCAATATGATACTATTGCTTTAAATTAATCTGTCCAATATGATACTATTGCTTTAAATTAATTTGTCCAATATGATACTATTGCTTAAAATTAATCTGTCCAATATGATACTATTGCTTTAAATTAATCTGTTCAATATGATATTATTGCTTTAAATTAATCTGTCCAATATGATACTATTTCCTTAAATTATTCTTACCCGCATTGTGTAATCCAATCACTATTATATGAGTTTTATCTAACTGTGGAAAGTGTGAAAATAATTCATCAACTTTCGAGGACCTTCCACCCATGCGTTTTAGAACATTACTGAAATAAAGGACGATGAAATAATGAAATATAAGATAGAATAACTGTCAATATGTATTTGTTCCTCCGAAATTAAAAGAGTCACGACACTATATATAATGAAAAGACACAACTGGAATAAAGAAGGAAACATATAATTTGATTAAAAACAGATAAGTAAATTAATAAGTAAATAAAAATAACAACTGAACGGATATGGTAAATTATTTGATGACAAAAATTCCTACAAGCACTTGAAAAAGCATGGATTTTATACAGTTGCACGGGGCCAACATTCTAAGAACAATACTGAAGAACAAGCATGATTCATGAAGCATACTGGTATAATGTTTTTGTATCATTTGAGTCTCAAAACGTAATAAAATAACAGCGCTTCAGTATAGATAGTCTTACATGTGATAATTCAAATGAATGAACCGTAGTGACACCTTAGGCTATCTATAGAGGATTTTGATAAATTATTTAATATTAGTAGACATATATTCAGCTTTGCACCTGGTAGAAATGCTGAAAAAGGAGTAAAAAATAGTCTTTTTCAAAAATGTTTTGTAATGTATCATTTAATATAAAAATCAGGACAATATTCAACCGAATGACTAAAAAGAAAGGAAGTGAAAGTTTCGAAAACAGTCACTTAAATGATATTTCCCCAGTCCAATGAATGCCAACCCTTGTTAAAATGAGCATAGAGCATGGCATAAAAGAATTATTTCTTAAATTTAATAACTATAACCGTATGATCATTATTGTAGACCCCGTATGTTTATTATTGTAGACCCATCGATTAAAACTGAACTTTGCAGATGATATCGGATATGTTCCTTATGTCGTAACTACAATACCCTTCCCTTTTCACGAATGTGACATACCGAATTAGACTATTTACCGGATTTGTAATAACATAAGCAACACGACGGGTGCCACATGTGGAGCAGGATCTGCTTACCCTTCCGGAGCACCTGAGATCACCCCCAGTTTTTGGTGGGGTTCGTGTTGCTACGTCTTTAGTTTTCTATGTTGTGTCATCTGTGCTATTATTTGTCTGTTTTTCTTTTTATTTTTGGCCATGGCGTTGTCAGTTTGTTTTCGATCTATGAGTTTGACTGTCCCTCTGGTATCTTTCGTCCCTCTTTTGCAATTCATATTTTGACAATTTTCCAACAATATCAGATTTGATCTTTTTTATCTTAAAACGAGGTACCAACAAGCCAAGGTTTATCTCTTTTTAAATCTCAACCATTTTCCAAACGATAGCTACAGATTTGCGCCAGGTTTATAGTAATTCCACAGAAGCAGATCGGAATCAGTTATGACATAGACAGTAATCGTTCTAATCGTAATCATGTTCATTGACCATAACGACGATGAAAGCACATAATGACGTTTCGACATCATATAACGAAGTAAACCCAACCACATCATGTAAGCACTGTGTCTAAACTACCCCGGCAAAAATGTTTGGACTCGATGGTATCTAATATCCTGCACGGTGACGGAACATCAATAGACAGAGAAAAGGTAGTTTTCTGTTTATTTATTTGTTATTTTTATGATATCGAAGAATATATATATATATAAATATATAAAACTATTTTCTATTGTGAGATTTAATATTTTCTACAACCATTCTAGATTAACGGAGAAATATGTAAAAATGCACGTCAAAATGACGAATTGAGTGAACCTTGCCTCGAATTTGTTTAATATCTCGTTAAATTGTTCACATTGTACGGAAAGAAAGGTACGGTAAGAAAGATATTGACATGGAGATTGCAAAACTAGCCACTTTGATCACCTCAATACTTGTATTTCTGTGTATGGAACGAAAGAAATGGGTCATGTCAAAAGGGAAGGAGCCGGTTTTGTCAATGTTGTTTACTACAAAATCACCCGGTTTTGTCTATGTATATGACCCGGTTTTGTTTTGTTTTGAAACCACAAATGTATGGAAAGCACGTTAACACGGATCTAAACATTGTCCATCGAAAAAATTTCAATATATATGTTATTCTAAAACAACTTCACATGCGTTTTTTCAACAAAAATAAATACTACATATTATTTATACAAGAGCGTACGCACTGACATGTAGCGACTGCTTGAATGATCGTAATTGAACCTATTTTGAAGATCTGTAAGATAAATAATTTAATAAAAGTATCACATAAACTTAACATTATTCATGGAACCATAAAAAAGTCAAGGTCTAATGAAACCTGCCAGACGGACATGAACACATTACAATCATTAAAACCAACAAAAAAAATAAAAACTTAACATTTACCAATTAATCAAGAAAATAAGTTCAAGGTCTCATAAATAGTCATGTGGCCATATGAGCAAATATAGTTGACCTTTTACTTATGGTATTAGAGATACGGATTTGTGTTACATATTTGTTTTTCGTTCATTTTTTGTACATTAATTAGGCTGTTAGTTTTCTCGTTTGAATTGTTTTACATTTGTGATTTCGGGGCCTTTTATAGCTGACTATGCAGTATGGGCTTTGCTCATTGTTGAAGGCCGTACGGTGACATGTAGCTGTTAATTTCTGTGTCATTTGGTCTGGTGTGGAGAGTTGTCTCATTGGCAATCATACCATATCTACTTTTTTATATTGAACACGAAATGTTAACCTTGATCATGTATATCAACCATTATCAGTGTGATATTCACAGCTATTCATTTTGTTAGGAAATCGCTGAACTAAAATGAGGTCAAAGCCAGGGCAATGGACATATGACAGATAGAAACATCGTAAGATAAAAGATCTGTGTGCGAGGTAGTCAGGCCTTCTAACTTCTGACATATGAAGCTCCATACAAATAGTTCAAGCCGCCACGAATTTGCATCCTTTGGTCTCGCATTTCGACAATTTTAAAATATCAATGTGAATTTTTAGAATAAACATGATAACCCTACTCACATACATCCAAGCAGCGTATAGGTCGCACGCCCCAAACCCCAACTTTGATGGCCCCAAAAAAATTAAATCATGTTTTTTACGATTTTTTTTTAGCTTAAAATCGTCCAAAAAATTGTTCGCCTCGCTACGCTCGGCGGTATGTAAGTTGTTTGAAATACGCCCACTTTGAAAAAACCTAAATCCATCCCTATATATTGTTAATGATATATTGACCAACGCCAATGTACGATAATCATAACACAATGAAGAGATAACAGAACTGTTTGTTTATAGAACTATGAATTAAATAATCATTATTGCATTTTCTTGATGGCCTGAGACAATTGCACAAATTTACACTTAGTATTATCCTTTTCTCCCCATAAACATTCATTTTCTATGGCGATTCTGCATGCATATAGGTGTACTACCACCATTGATTTTCTCCTATTAGTCTTTGTCAAATTTGCACTTTTCAAAAAAATGTGCAGAATTTGTCTTTGTTTCAAATAAAGAAATACTTGGCATGAGTAAAGTTTTATCCTGTTCAGTACTATAGAAAAAATTTCACATAACATTTCATTGCATATAAGAAAATAACCATCACTGGAAGTTAACCAATCAAATTTTCACCTCTTTTTTATCTGTGTACAAGCTTTTAATTAGTAACCATGTAACCTCAAGTTTCTAAAATATTCTATGGAAACCCAAAATAAAAAATAATGGTGCTTTGAAATACCCAAGATATATGTTTATGACCCAGAAATGTTTTACTGCAATGAAATGTAGAATTAATTACCTACAACTGTCAAATTCAAGGGAATATTTTTTTCGACCTATTTTCGTAGGCAACCGGATGTACTATCATTTGGTGGTATTACACCTATACATTTGTCTTCTTATCATGTCTTATAATAGACACTTAGCCTGAAGAAGATTTATTTTAAACGATTATAGGAAAGAGGGGCGAAAGATGCCAGAGGGACATTCAAGATAACACCTCTTGGTAGATTGGATTACTTATAAAGATAACCATCCTGTTGTGCAAGAAAATCACATATCAAATGTGCGTGTTTCAATTTTTAAGACCGTAAACTTTAATTTCAAGTTTGATCACTTAAATTTACATATTTCATAGAAAAAAAGGTACAGAGGACTTAAATCTCAATTTGCGTTATAACCTTCATTTCTATTTCGCAGTTAAAGTATTTTTTGGGCGATTTTAAGCTAAAAAAAAATCGTAAAAAACATTATTTAATTTTTTTGGGGCCATCAAAGGTGGGGTGGGGACGTGCGACCTATACGCTGCCTGGATTCGTCACTAATTTTATATAACTAAATCGTATACCAACTTGGAATTTTATAAGAAATAAAAAAAAACAGGGACACCCGCGAAATTGGATGTATGTGAGTAGGGTTATCATGTTTAAATGCAAAGCAAAATTATAATTATTTTTGTTCCAATAAAGAAGGAATTCAAGTGTTTACAGATTCAAATAAATAATAAGTTGTCCTCTGAAAGAAATCGTTTTCCAACGAGCCACCAGACTCCTTTAAAACGCAAAAGTTCAATTATGTTATGCGATTATGCATTTTTTTCTTTGACAAAACCGGGTTCTGCCTTGTGAAATATAGGACAAAACCGGGTTGTACACATTGACAAAATCGGCTCCTTCCATTTTGACATGATCCATTTCTTTCGTTCCATACACAGAAATACAAGTATTGAGGTGCTCAAAGTGGCTTGTTATGCCAATATTTTTCTTTCCGTACCTTTCTTTCAGTACAATGTGAACAATTTAACGAGATATTAAACAAATTCGAGGCAAGATTCACTCAATTCGTCATTTTGACGTGTTTTTTTACTTATTTCTCCGTTAATAGAATGGTTGTAGAAAATATTACATCTCACAATAGAAAATAGTTATATATGTATATATATATATTCTTCGGTATCATAAAAATAACAAATAAATAAACAGAAAACTACCTTTTCTCTGTCTATTGATGTTCCGTCACCGTGCCGGATATTAGATATTCGAGTCCAAACATTTTTTTGCCGGGGTAGTTTAGACACAGTGGTAAGGTTACAACCACATCATATAAAGCTGATTGTCCATAATATAAGTACATTTGCACATTATATAAGAATATTTGAAAATCATATAAGTATATTTGCACATCATATAAGTATAATTGCACATCATATTAGGATCTTTGCACATCATATAAGTACATTTTCACATCATGTAATTATATATGACATCATATAAGGATATTTGCACATCATATAAGAATATTTGCACATCATATAAGAATGTTTGCACATCATATAAGTACATTTGCACATCATATAAGTACATTTGACCATAATATAAGTATATTTGCACATCATATAAGTATATATGCACATCATATAAGTATATTAGCACATCATATAAGGATGTTTTGACATCATGTAAGGATACTTGCACATAATATAAGGATATTTGCACATCATATAAAGGTGTTTGCACATCATATAATGACAAGTGCACATCATATAAAGGTAAATGCACATCATATAATGAAAATGGCCAGAACAAGACAGTTTTTGGCGTTCCATAGTAGTAAAACAAAACTAATATGTCTTGCCATTATTCAATCATTTACACATCATAAGACTAATTTTCGAAGGGGACAGGGAGGTTACTTACAGTTGTCAAAATGGAAGTATTCCGTCAATTGTGTTTTTTGAACTACTTCCAATTCCTGTTACGTCAACAGTAGTTCAAGCGAAACAAAGAAATCAATACTTTGTGAAAATACTCCTCCGTTTTGACAAGCCATTTAAATTTAAATATGTGAACGTTGTAACTATATATTTATAAACATATTTATTTTATTTACTATTTCTATTCTTAAAATTAAAATACCCCCGTGAGATATGCCATGTTGGACGTTTTTTGTTGTTTGTTTTGTGTGTCAGAAAGATTCATTAACATTAATATAACATGGGATCATTGATATCTAAATCTTTGTTAGGAGAACCAGCTACATACAAAATAGTAATGCTTGGATTAGACGGTGGAGGGAGGTCAAATGCCGGTTCTCTTGTTTTATGAATTAGTATATTGAAAGGTATTACATGTATCATGTGTACAATTCGACGACAGTCGTATTCTAAGCGTTGGAACAGAACTCGGGGATGTTTAAAATATGCTTAAATCGATCCGAAAGGTCTTAATCTTCTTTTTTTTTAATTTGTTTTTATAATTTGTAATTCTAGGTTAGATTGATTGATTGTTGGTTTGTTTAACGTCAAGTGGCAAAGTTTTGGTTAGAAGAGGAATGATCGCTAGTAAACTTGTTTAAACCCGCCACATTATGTAGGTCCCTTGCCCAAGTCATTATAATTCAGTGGTTGTTACTTGCTGTCTCTCATATTTGTTTTTCGTTTAATGTTTAATATGTAAATCAAGCCGATGGTTTTCTTGTTTTAAATTTTGTCAATTTTGGACGTGTATAGCTTACCATACGGTATAGGTTTTGTTAATTGTTGAAGATTATAGTAGTTGCTTACGTCTACGTCATCTGGTATCGAGTTGACAGTTGCTTCATTAGGCGCCATACCACATCTTCTTGTTTTATAAATTTAAATCAATCATTAGAGGAGTTGGGCCTCTTCAACATTTTTTTCATCCAGTGACCACTGCCTTAAAGACATTCTTTTGGTTCACAGAAAAATGTCGATCCCATCAACATTCCTCCTACCGGAAGGTATTTTATATTACATGAGACAATACATTAACATTTTTGTAATTGCTTGTAGGAAAAACGACAATCTTATATAAGATGAAATACAACATAAACGTTCAGACAATACCAACGATTGGATTTAATATCGAAACCATTACTCCAGTTGAAGGGATCAATTTCACGGTATGGGACATTCCTTTTCTAGAAGACATGATTCCTTTGTGGGTACATTACTTTAATAACACAGCAGGTATGCCTAAAGTTTTTATATTCTGTCTCAATTGAGTGACTCTTACGCTACATTTTATAGTGTATACAGAGTAACTACAAGTCTTGTATGAATGTTGTGCCACACTTTTATGATAAACTCTGGATAATTTAACTTTTTTGCGCTTAAATAATATGAACGGTTAAATAATCATATATTACTAGAAAGGTTACATGTACCAAACTGTTGAGGATAAACAGATTTACCTTGACTGAAAGGGTCGATTTCTGAAAGTCTCTTTAATCTTTGTTGTGCTTACGTTTTGAGAAGTTGAACATATCAATAAACAAATTACTTCCATGTCGTTTTTACTATTCTGTAATTTTGCAGGCATCATGTACGTTGTGGATAGCAATGATGGAGACAGACTGAATGAAGCGAAAGATATATTACATCGTATACTTAACTTTGACATATTGAAAGAAGTACCACTGGTTGTTATAGCCAATAAACAGGACCTTCCTAGTTCGTATCTTATATTTATGAAGTAGTTTGTCTTATATTAAATACCATTTCGATAACACATGACTTGCATATAATTTTATTACTTATTTTTATTTTTTACGAGTTTACAAAAATTTCATTGTTTTTTATGTGTAGAGTCTTTGTAAAACATTTTACATACATGCATTAACGTCTCAAACGTTCTTGAAATTTAATAAACGAATTAAATTTCTTTTTAAAAAGGACGAATTTGCATTTTGAATATGATTAATCTGTGTTTTTACAAAAAAAATGCATTAAACGATTACTCAAGAATAAAATATATTTGAATATTGAAAAAAGTAGCATGTCCAAATTTAATTTGAATTTTGCAGATGCCATTAGTCCGTCAGAAATTGCAAACGTTTTGAATTTGCATGAAGTGAGAGACAGACGTTGGTTTATCAACGGTGCAAGTGGCACAACAGGAAATGGACTAAATGACAGCATGAGAGCTATGGCAGAAGCCATCAGGAAATAACCTGCTGTGTGTTTGACATAAAAGGTGACCATATTGATTTACCACGTTATAAGAAACCAAATAATACCAAACACGATAACCACTCAGAACATACCACAAAGCATGTTCATTAAAAACCAATTAGTAGGAATGAGGAAATAAATACTAAAAAATGCTGCTGAAAGAATACAACAAAATACTCGAAAATCGAAAGGAAAGGACGAAGGTACCTGTAGAAAACATGTTTCAAACGGGATAGCACATCCTAATATTTACGGAGATGTTGTTTACCGAGCCCGGACATTTAGATACGATCCGGGTAATCTTATCGATTCTTTAAATAAACTTATAAAAGGTTACAATTTCAACATTATACTTAGATCTTTGAATATTATTTTTATTTTTATAAATGTTGATGTGTTATTATCAGTAAATTAAAACCAAACTTATATTATTGTCACACACACACACACACATACACATATATATATATATTCTGGATTCACCTTCATGAGGAACGTAGAATGATATCGGCGAAAACCCCATGACACCCCCACAATCTTCCCCTCCCAATTAAAGAAAGAGATGTTTTGGGGTGAAAAGAATACCCCACTTGCTGAATCTCTGAAGAACTCCTGAAATCCCAAAAAAAGTTCGAACTGATACAATATTCACTGGTTTGCGGTTCATAATTCATTGAAAAGTACGTTAAGATAACGACTTATTTGATGTTTACTCCCCATCTAATCAGAAAAAAAATAATAATTACAATACTTGGTGATTAAACTGAAAAAGCGTGATAACCATGAAAAGCTGGGTGTTAAATATCATTTTTTTTTATTAAAACCCTACAGGTGAAATTATACTTCCGCGTTAAGTCTCATATCTATGAAACCACCAGAAAACGATTCAACAACTTTATGGTATGCATATTTTTTTATTCTCTGAAAAGTGAGAGAAGAGAACGAGATTGCAAAATAAAATCACAAATCGAATAAAAACAGACAACGCCATGACCAAAAAGAAGAAGAACGAAAAGACAAACAATAGTCCACAAAACACTACACATAAATATTAAAGAATTATCAGCATGAACCCCACCAAAATACGGAAGAAGGGTTGAACTCATGGGTTCCTAAGGGTCAGTAGTTCTTTCTCCATTAGTGACAGCCGTCATTTTACTCTGGTTGAATTGCATGAATGAATCATATTCAGACAGTGGTTAATATATCTGAGTGATAAATGTCTAACCCTAAGACATCATGCACCAAATTCAAAAACCATCAGTACATGTCAAGCCCCATCCCTTAATCTTGACAGAATGTCTAGGACGAAGGATTACCAAGTCCTTTACCGGAAGGTGCCTGTAAAATTGTTTATAACTGAAAATATTACGAAGACATCAATCCAAACACGTACATATCGAATTACATGGGAAATCAATACATTACAAAGGGACCAACAGAACAAATCAAAATTATCAATAGAAAGGAAAAGTCGCCCAGTTTGTCATAAATATTGGTATGGAGATTACCATTAGACATTTTAATAATAATGTCTTAAAGAGGTCTGTGTTCACTCTTAAAGTTTAATTAAGGAAGAATTGATTGAAGTGAACAAATTTCGTTTACATATTGAGAAAAATCTAGATTGTAGTGAACAGAGTATATGTCATCTAAATATTTGATATTCTTGGAAATTTCTGTTTTGTGTCATTTCGTTTGGTTTCATGACGTTATGCCATAAGCTGTCATTCATGACAGTAAAGGGACAAATCTGCGACAACAGAGCACAGCAAGTCTCAATCTAAATACTAATCATTATACTTTATTGTATCTCCAACTCGAATATAAGTTTTATCAAACAAAATTAATTATAAATGCAAAGCGAGCGATTACAAAGCATACCCCCAATTTTCAGTTTTCAGTGGTGATGTTATTCGAACAACTTCTTTAAAATGATATTAAAAAAACTGAATAAATAATGTACATGCTATGATTGTATTTATTTTTGCATGTTATGCTGGAACTGAAATCAAAGTTGTTCATCATCACAGAAAATAGATTAAAGAATAGTTCACTCTATTATGTATGTGTAAGGAAATGATTGTCCTATATAAATTTTGTGATCTTGGTCATGAAATAAATTTCAAGATGGGTATCTTCACAAAGCATAACTTTAAAAGGACATTGGAAAGTACATAACCATCTAAATAAATAAATGCAATCTGAATCACGGAACATAGTTTACAATAGAGACTAAGAAAAACACATACAGCAACTTAAAACGAACCATGTGAGAGATAAAAAACCAATTGTTCAGAGAACAATTGAAGGTCTTTCCACCCATAAAGATCTATATTGATATAGAACTATTAAAAATTCGGTTTAAAATATCATATCCAGCTTCAAATGATAGCTTATTGTACACTGATTCCAAAAATATATGGTTTCTATACATTTTTTTTCTAAATAAGGGAGATAAATTGTTACTTCTGGTTTGAAAAATGTCACTTCCGGGTTTTTTTTATAGTTTACTTGATACTGATTCCAAAAATATAAGGTTTAATATACTTTTACATTAAATAAGTACAAAAAAATAGCTACTTCCGGTTTACACATGGTCACTTCCGGTTGGCTTTTCCATGGTCAAGTGGCTTGCAACGTAATGCAAAAAGTCCCATGGCTTTATCATGTATACATATGAGGTAAAAGCAAAGGTCAATATCTAGAACGTCAAATTTACCTATGACCTTGAGCTCAATTTCAAGGTCATAAACCAAGGGCTTCAAATCAAAAGACCATAGGTCTTAATTATATATGGTTAATGAGTTATATCACTATATGCCTAATTTTTAATATAAGAGGAGAGAAAACTCCAATTTAATGTTAGTGTACCCTTTCAACCAAAATTTATGTGTTACGACATGTCGCAACTTACAATTTAGTAAAAATATGTCGTCGATATCTTATACGGTTTTTGAAAAGAATTGAAAATAAGCCAAAATCAAAATTTAAAATATGACCTTGACCTCTGACCTTGACCTTATTTTCGTTTTTTTTGGACCAAGGACCTCAAATCAAAAGATCCTAAGTCTCTATCACTTATGGTTTACGAGATAGAAACGCATATCACTTATATCAAATGCATAAGGGGAAATAACTCTCATATGGAGTGTTTGTATGGCTTTCGGTCAAAATTGGACAAATCATGCGAAGGATATAACGAGCAATTTTATAAAATAAATTTGTCGCTTTTTTTATACGGTTACGGAGGAGATGCAGTCACAAGGAAAACAGTGTTCGGGGAGATAACTCATACAAAGAAAAGTATTTGATTACGCAGGGTGAATTTCAAAGGCGCATAAACTGTTCGATACCATATACCAAACATCTAAGCGACATCTTGCGACAACAAAATTTATACGCAAGAAATAAAAGTGGCGGAAGAAAAGAAAAAAAACATATTTAAAAACCAATTGTTCAAAGAACAATTGAAGGTCTTTCCACATCAATTTTCTAAATAATTGATAGGAAGCTACTTCTGGTTTACTCAAAGTTATTAATAGCGTCAAAGTATAGATTTCTTCATACTGATTCAATAAATAAATGGTTTCTATATACTTTTGCCTGAAATAAGGGTGATAATTGCCAACATCCGGTTTAGAAAATGTCACTTCCGGTCTCATATGATAGCTTTATTCACACTGATTCCAAAAATATATAGTTTGTTTATACTTATGCCTGTAATAAGGAAGATAATATGCTACTTCCGGTTTATAAAATGTCACTTCCGGTCTCAAGATAGGTTAATCTATGATCATTCAAAAAATATATTGTTTCTAGGTACTTTTCCATGAAATAAGTGCAAAAATACTACTTCCAGTTCACTCAAGGTCACTTCCGGTTGACATTTTTCAAGGTTATATGTCAACCAACAGTTTGCAAAAGACCCTATGGCTTTATCATGTACCAAGTTGGAGTAATAATCAATTAACCTTAAATTGAATCATTTCAGGGACAATAACTCCTATAAGATGTCATTGGATTGTTTCAAACCAAATGTATCATATCTTAATCACAATTAGGCAAACATTTTGCACTTGTTCTTTAATTTGTATCTTTAAAAGTGACAGAGGAGATCAAATAAAAAAGTCAAAGTTTAGAATATGACCTTGACCTTTGACCTTGGCCTCAATTTCATTTAAATGAACCAAGGAACTCAAATCAATATACCTTAGGTCTCTATCACTTACCATTCATGCTATACATTTATATATCCCTTATGTCAAATACAGAAGAGGAAATAAGTCTCATATGGAGTTTACGTATCGCTTCGGTCAAAATTGGACAAAACATCCTGAGGATATAACGAGCAATTTTGGTAAAATAAATTTGTCGCTTTCTTTTACGGTTACGGAGGAGATGCAGTCACAAGGAAAACAGTGTTCGGGAATATAACTCCTACAAAGAATATTGTTCGACTTAGAATGGGTGAAAATAAAAAGCGCATAAACTGTATGATACTATATAAGAAATATCTTAGCGACATATTGCGAAACAAAAATGTTACGCGAGAATAAAATTTGGCGGAAGAAAAAAATAATAATAATCAGAACAAAAACAATAGGTCTTTCCACAGAAAAGTGGAAAGACCTAATAATCAGAACAAATACAATAGGTCTTTCCACCGAAAAGTGGAAAGACCTAATAATAGACAACGGCCACTAGTTATTTATACCGAAGAATAATGCTTATTTTTAACGTTCGCACCTTAGCAACATATGGACGGACATATAAGGAAACTGATGTATTATCTTTATAAATAGACAATAAATCATTATGCATTAAACTTTATACCTTCAATAGGAAGTGATCATTTATAATTGAGAGTGTTACATCCTGAAAGTATTATCACATTTTAACAGACATAAAAAATACGTTTTACAAAAATAGTTCAGATGATGATATGAAGTATGGGAATTTGTTCATCAAACAAGAAACCATTGACTATTCTTCTGCTAGGTTTAGATGAAGCAGGTAATAAATTAAACAGTATATAATTCGACCAGTCTTAACTGAACTGAACTGAACATTTTAACAATCCATAAACTGCCATATATGAGTTGATATTTGAACATAAAGATTTATTGATATTGCAGGAAAAACGACATTGTCGTACAAGATTCAAAATAGAAATAGTTTGACGATACCAACTATCGGATTTAACATTCACACAATAAATCCACTGAAGGGCGTTCACTTCAATTTGCTCGATGTTGGTGGTGGGGAAAAAGTAAAAGTAACATGGAAGCAGTATTACAGAGATGCAGCGGGTGAGTGCCTTATGCTGGATTGTTTTCCAGCTTACGTATTTTGATGAACATTTTTTTTTCAGTAATTAATTTTATTTTGGTACGATTAATTTATTAGTTCATTAAATCATCAATAGAACAAAACGTATACTGTATACGACAATGAATATAGATGACTAAGTAAATTCTACTTTCTAATACTATTCTAAATGGTTTGTAGTCTCCGCAATGCCTTGATCTGCGATTGTTCAAAGCTGCAGCGATTCTCTTGTAATGATTACTAGTGCTATCTGCTCAGAAGTAAACGAACAAATTCTTTTTTGCATTTAAACTAATTAGAATTTAATCGATCTAGTTTGTTAATTTTTACAGGTATTTTATTTGTCGTTGACAGCAGTGATAAAGAGAGACTACAGGAGGCGAAGGAAGCCCTACATCAGTATATAGTGAACTGTGAGACAGCGGCAAATATTCCAATAGGAATCCTAGCTAATAAACAGGATGTTCAAAGTATGTCAGTTTTATTAAGTAGAGCATCTGATATTTTCATGAATTATTTAAAAATTGACATGGTAGGATAAGAGCCTAATTTGCACCCATGTATGGAAAAACTTCATATGTTTCAACATTTTGTATGTTAAATGTAATTATGCCCACTTTACAAATTAGATTGGTTTAAAAAAATGAAAACAACACTTTATAAATTTTATGCGTCCGGAGTGCTTTTCTGTATTTACCTACATCAGGAACACTCAAAGCCGAATATTTGAAAACCAAGGATGTAACAGAAACAACTGAAGAAGAGCTATATGACCAAAAAGGACATAAAAGAAATAGCCAAATACATTTAAGGTCAACTTTGCCTGAGGGAGTTGAAACTTTAGATTCGTTATGATTTATAATTTTATAAACGGATAATTTTTTTAAAGGTTTGTCATAAATCATGTCACCAAAGGACTGACTAATGAGCTGATGATACCCTCGATGACTGATAGTCCACCAGCGGTGCCATCGACCCAGTGCTGTAAAAAAATAGAACAACACTTAATAAATTTCATACATCCGAAGCGCTTTACTGGATTTACTTTCCCCAGGAACACACAAAGCCGAATATTTGAAAGCCAAGGGTATATATAAGAAACGAAACAGTTGAAGAGATATATGACCAAAAAGGACCCAAAAAATAGCCAAATCCATCGAATTATGTTTGAATTTAATTACATATATCTCTTACGGTATATCTACTTGTTTAAGCAGCTATAAAGGTAATGTTGTCCACTAAAAACAAAAAAGCAAAAAACCATTTTAAGGATGTTTTCTTCTGACGTTTCAGTCTCGTTAAAATCTTGTTCTGGAATTATTTCCAAAACATGTCTTACAAGTGGAAAATATCAATGAATTTTAAAAATATTATAATCAAACTTAACTCTGTGAAAAAATTGTGTATTTTCAATAAGTAGTTTTTGAGTAATAAAATTTTCAAATTTTATAACCAATCAAGTCAGTCTCATTAGCCAAAATGTTGAGAAAATGGGTGAGGGGTACAAGAAATTACTTTACCAGATACATATACATCCCATATCAATTTTTTCTTTTCAAATTTCTTAGATATGAATTTTTTCAATCATTAATAACAAAGAAGTTGAAATAATATGCTTTTTGTTCTAAAAAAAGAGAAAAATCCCAAATTTACAAAATTGACAACATGGTAAATTTGACACGAAAAAGCAACAAAATTTTATAAAACTTTCTTATATTAACACCTACCTATAGTTTTTTTAGTTAAGTTTATTCAGATTGGTTCACTTCATCTTTAGTGAAAGTATGAAAAAAAGTTTAATTGTGAAACTGTGATTTCTTTCATGATAATAGCCCAAAAATGGCTAAAAATTGATGAAAAATGGGAAAATCATGAAAATTGGGTACTTTCAAATGGCTGTAGCAAAAAAAGAAGTGCACCACCATATGATTTTTTCTTTACCAACTATTTTTTTACAGTCATATAAACCCAAAAATCGGGTTAAGAAAAAAAGTTTAATTCTAGAAATTTTTGGCTCCTCTGAGGTGTACATCCTTAATTAATGTAGTATTAACAAACTTAACGGTTGGCTTAGCCATTCAAACGTGTTGATATGTTTGTTTAGCCAAATGGACGAATTTTTAAAAAAATATAAAAAATATATTACTGGTCCACCGAAATTCTCATATCTAATATGATTAAAAACTTCCTTGATACTTATGTTTTGGAGCTCTTTTTATAAAATATTGTATGTGCGTTCATTCGGACATGGTTAAAATATGGGACAAAAATCAGGTCCTTATCATTTTTTTTCCCATCCTGATTAATGAGCTTTACGAAAAATTAACAAAATATTTTTGAAGTGAGAAGACGCAAAGCAAAAGTATTAAGATACAAGATATAGAAGACTACGCCGAACAGAAGTAAGATACGACCATAACAAATTGACGTCTTCAATTTAACTACCCGATTGCAAAGAGGAACCAATTGATTTTGATTAAAATAGGGAAGAATTTTTGTCATAGTCTCTATGGAAACGGGTTACGCACAAACATTTTTTACATGAAAAATGATTTTTAGAATTTTTAAAGAATTTACGAATGTCAAAAAATGTTGAAATGAAACCAAAATAGCTTCAGAATGACGATGATATTAATTTTCAACATTACGATCTAAAATCGGTTGTATCAAAGCAAACTAAGAAATGTTTCCTTTTCCAGATGCCCTAAAAAAATCTGACATATCATGTGAACTGGGTTTACATCAGCTCACAAACAGAAAATGGTTTTTACACGGTGTTAGTGCAAAAACAGGAGATGGATTACTTGAAAGCATGAAATTGATGTCGGATACAATAAAAAAGCGAAAATCGTCAAGATAGTATAGTATGTGCGATATATTACTAGATACAGTATGATAGAACAAGGTCAAAGATCATTGGATACTGACGACTAATTCTTCGCTGGAAGCAACTTACATGACATTACATTTTTGGTGTATGAGAATACAATTAATAGAGCCACTACTATTTTCTATTGAAGATAACGTACTAATTAAATAGAAGAATATGGCTCGTCGATGTTGTTCGAACCTATTGTTATTATTTATAGATACCTCGCTGACTCTTCTGTAGAGTAAAAGGAATGTAATGTATTTGTGTCCTATTACAATTAAGTGTTTTCTAAACTATGACAGAAATAAATTTGTTTGTGTAAAATTGATAAGAAAGTGTGATGTATGAATTTTCATAGGAAAGCATCAGGAACCTATATTTTTGGACTGTTTGGAAGACTATGTCTAGGTTTTAAACAAGATTTCGACCAATAAGATCTGAACATTGATAAGTGCGACTGCTGTCGCCTTTGTGGGCAGATATTTCTTGTTAATATCATAGCTAAATGCGCATAAAGTAAAAAATCATATGTAGTCGGCATTTGTGCAGAACAGCACTTATAAAGTTATGAAATAATATCAATTCTGAATCAATTAGGCATATCTGACGTGATTGCGAAAATTAACCTTATATCGGAACAATCCATTGTCAATTTTGTTTAACAAAATTTTCAAAAACGAAAAGAAATAAAAAGAAAATTCTGATGTGTCTGATATTCAAGAAAAACAGATGTGCTACATAGAACGATGATTAAAAAATAGAAGTGTCGATTTTTTTTTCGTTATCTACGAAATTTTACTAAAATTAAAATGTACTCCCTTAGGCAAATAGATATAAGAAGATGTGGTATGAGTGCCAATGAGACAACTCTCCATCCAAGTCACAATTTGTAAAAGTAAACCATTATAGGTCAAAGAACGGCCTTCAACACGGAGCCTTGGCTCACATCGAACAGCAAGCTATAAAGGGCCGACATTTGTCTGTTTGGGCCCTATGGTTTTTATGTTCTCAAACACTTAAGATTTTAGTTTTCCACACTTTTTGTTGTGTAAGTCATAAAACAAAATATCCTGAAAACACCGAAATTAGAATCACAAGGTTTTTTGTTTTATCTTGCTCTGTTTTGTTTTTTGTCTTTTTGTTGTTATTTTATTTTTTTATTTGAAAATGTATCCATAAATATATATACGTTAAGTATATTCATGTATACATACTCAGTATTAATATATTCAATGAAGTGGCTAAACACGCGATTGTATTGTGTGTTGTCCCTATGATTTGAAAAAAGGAATAAAATACAAAAACATAATAATCGGTGACTGTTGTCAGTATAGGTATGGTTTGTAGGTATAAACAAAACACAGATTTTTATAGTAGTGGGTCTCTGATAATATAGGTACAAACGAATCACAGAGTTGTATATTTTTTCCATGTGGTGAACATATACGTTTTGCCCCCAAAAGTTTGTGATATACAAGCAAAACCCACATTTAGTGTATTTTGTCCATAGGGTGTGTTGTTAGTCCTCATGGCCTTTACAGGTGATACAGATATTCCATATTTGTCAACTAAATCACGATAGCGTCCGTAAAAAAATCGAAGGAACAACTTCAACTTTACCATTTGGAACTCTTGGTCTAATAGCTTGGTTGTAATCAGTAACCCTCCATCGACGAAGTCATGATATTAAAGGAAACCCCTGGAATATTATATCAACTGCTAGATATATACTCCATTTTCAGGCACAGAAATAGAAAGTTCACAGTGGGAAAATTGAACTTATCTTCTTTATCATAAATTTTTGATATTGACCATAAAAACATAACACAGAGTTGGTATAATTTGTCCTGATGGTTAGTAGGTACAAACACAACACGTAGTTTATGTATTTTGTTCTTGTTGGTTCAAGCTAGATCAGAAGTTATGTGATAAGTGTGATATGGGTCTTAGATAGGGACAAAATTACCCAAACTTAGACAGTGTTCTAAGAACCGTCACCATCGACCAACATAGTGAACAAGAATATCACCAGAATTCATTGTTGATTAAATGTCATGTATGACTCATGTTACTATGATACTATTTCTAACAATATATATTTAAAAATAAAACATAGAAAAATATCCTATGCTAGTTTAACGTATGCTACTTTAACGTAGACATCCTCATTGTCTTTTATACTTAATGAATTCTTAATGAATTCTTAACGAATTTATTTTTCTTTTCAATTTGGTTCATATTGCATGAATTCCCTACCAAAGAAAGTTTACAAAATTTGTCACATCAGTATCCAGCTACGTAACTATCTAATGTGATTAATTTTTGACCACAAAAGATATCAACACTGACATTTTTATTGGATTGTTTGTACAGTCGTAAGACAGAAACGTCTTATTAACAGGATATGTATTTTATATGATACAATATTTGTGTTATTTTATACTGTTTTAAACTAAAGGTTGTAATATGCTGTTAATCAATATAATTAAAGAATGTTTTCCTTAAACTTGTTTTTAATGATACGATAATTTCCTTTTTTATTCTAAAATAATTTGAAACCAAGCATGTCGAATTACGCCAGGATGCACCAATCAAGATTATATTACTGTATAACACTACAAAGTCTTCTTTATGTGTATTATCATTGATAATACCGTTCTTTACACACTATAGATATAAGAAGATGGGGTATGAGTGCCAATGAGACAACTCTCCATCTAAGTCACAAATTGTAAAATTAAATCATTATAGGTCAAAGTTCGGCCTTCAACACAGAGCTTGGTTTAAACGTATTTATAGGCGCCAACCTTCACCCTAACATGAAACAATAGTGTAACATCACAACATAGAGGGACACACTATAAATTATCAATTGAAATGGCTTAACTCAATCAAAAGACATATTAACAAAAACAAGTGAACATACACTGAACGAATACATTTGATCTATGACACAATGTAAATACAAAATTAATAAAAAAAAGGGGTTGAGATGTAAAACAATATCAGAAAGACAACTATAACAAAATGCCGCCAAATAAAATAACGTACACAGGTAAATAAAAATAAATTTGTTGTAAGGTATACATGGAGTACGAAAATATTTTTTACAAAATAAATGATTTTGTTGTTCAAAGTACGAGAACAGAAGTTGAAAAGTTTATCGTCATACCAAACACTTATCAAAGGTGGTACATATTAAAAATAGTGAGACGAGATATAACAATAAATAAGTAAACATTAGATAACAAAAATGCATTACAAATTGTATCAACAGGTCAAATTAACACGAAAGTACGATTTGAGAGTACTCGCAGTTACTGAAAGCTAGTTAAAAGCCAAAAACAATTAATAATAAAAAATCATGCATCAGAGACTAAAATCAACTAAAACACATCCCAAGGATTTAGTGTTTAAACGTCATGGACAGTCAAAGAAGACATGACTTGTGCAATGCCAAAATAAAAGTATCGACAGGCAGTAGGATAGTTAGGTGTTAACCTTTAATAAATATGTATAATGTTATATATATATAGATAGAGTAATCTCTATATAGAAAATGAACGTGGATGTGTATTTATACATCCCCAAAAAAAACCGTTTGAAAAGAATACAAATTTAGTTATGTTCTAATTTGCTGATGGCAAAATCGATATTTGTGCCAATGTAAACTATATTCAAAGATCTAATTACAACATTGGTTAGATAACCTTTACTTAAAAGTTTGTTTAAAGGTTCGGTGAGTTTACACAGATCACATTGTGATTTCCGCGCTTTTAGTACAGTATTACCGTAAAATTTAGGATGTGAAATACTGTTTTACAGGTACAGCCAAATTTACTAATCAAATCTTTGTATCTATGAAAGAATTTAGTAAAAGTTTTAAGTAATTTATGGCAACGAAATCCCTGACTTAATAATTTACCAGTGATGCACTGATTACGTTCGTTAAAATCTATGACATCACTACAAACACGGGCATAACGAACGTGTTGGGATATATAAACACCGTATGATGGAACCAAAGGAACATCGCCGTCTTAAAAAGGAAAATTAACAATAGGGAATGAAAAATCGTCTCTTCTGTCGTAAATTTTAGTTTGGAGTTTCCCTTTAGAAATTGAAATGTCCAAATCTAGAAAAGGACAACTACTGCTGTTTATGTTAGATTTATTTAAGGTAAGTTCCTTTGGGTAAATTTCGGTAGTATATTTAGAGAACTCTGGATTATTTAACGAAAAAATATCATCAAGATAACGGTTGGTATTGTTGAATGTATCAACCAAATGTAACAATGACGTGTCTTTACTGAGTTTGGTCATAAACTGAGATTCATATCAATACAGGAATAAATCTATTATTAAAGGGGCGTAATTAGTGCCCATAGGAATACCTATTACCTGTCGATACACTTTATCGCCGAAACGTACATATATGTTGTCCAGGAGAAAATTTAAAGCTTCAATCATATCTTCACATTTCCAGTAAGTGTATCTAGCATACTTTCCTTTTTTGTTACAGAAAAAGGCTTTAAACGAGTTACAGCAAATAAATTTGCAATGAGATTTTTCAAAAGACCATTTAATTAAATATGAAAACTTTGTCTTGATAAGATTGTGTGGAAGTGTAGTGTAGAGAGTAGAAAAATCATAACTGTCAACAGAATTAAAAGGACCATCAAAAGCACGTATTTTATCTAAAACCTCTAAAGAATTTTTAACACTCCAAAAATAATTAATACCATTATTTTCATAAGCTTTAATACAAAAGTTAATAACAAGTTCTATGATAGTAGTAAGGGAGATAGTTAGAAGCACTGACAGATTAGTAGTAGAACACTTACTAGATGCGGAGTTGAAATGGAATCTAAATGGTTGTTTGTGTAATTTAGGTAACCAGTACATATTCGGGACTTTCAAATGTTCGGAAGAGGCTTTAAGCTCGGTAGTGGCAGTGATATGCTTGTTTACAATTTGACTCTCTGTGGAGCGTACTGACCTGAATGTAGAAGAATTGGTAATTTCGTTTTGAAGAAATTCCGTGTAGTATATGCGTCACACTACCACTACATTATTGGCTGCTTTGTCTGCCGGTACGAACACAAACCGCTATGCCTGTTTCCATGTCGTTACGACTTACGGTATTACTGTTTTTTATATATCATACCAAACAGAACATGTAATGACGGTTTGGATGTCAATGAACGTAATGTATGTATAACTGGCAATTTATTGAGTTGGGGATTTCGTTACCATAAATTATTTAATACTTTAATTTACTTAATTTCGTCACAGATACACAGAATTTGTTTGAAATTTTTACTGAGCCTGTAAATTTCTAATTACAAACGGGATATCACATCAAAATTTTTATGGTAATGTTGTTTATAAATACCGTAGATTTAAAACCGATCATCTAAAATCGTTAATCCTTTAAACAAAGTAAGCTTCAAGAAAGCCAACAGAACACCGTAGTAAGAACTTTTGATATTGTTTTTAAAAAATGAAATTCAAACTAAAAATGTATTACGGCACATTTATGAAAACTGATCGCACCTCGGGTAAATAAGTGACAATGTGATTGGTTTAACGCCGTCACTTGGTGATCTCCGTATGGATCCGTATGGGGTCAGTAGATTCCATACGGGTAGCGTGACGTCACGTCTACTATTATTGTTTTTTTTATGTATTTCATTGTTTATTTTAACATTTTATACAAAACTTGGCAGGAAAAGTCCTATGCGATAAATTTGTTATACGGTTCGCTACTGACCCCCTACGGATCCATAGAGGTTAAATAAAATCCATAGGGGATTCGGCCTACGGCCTCACTCCCTATGGCTTTTACGAACCCTATATGGACCTGCAAGGGGCCAGCAGCAAACTATATAACTTATAGTATGGTCCCACATCCAATCGATATGATGTACTTATATTCTAGCTTTGAACAAGGTCATGCTTTTTCAGGCTATTTTTGACGTCTTTAATCTTAATCTGTTAAATGTGTACGATTGAAATATAAGTCTGGGAGAAAATGATTTACTTATTAGTTATTATGAGTCAGGCCATTTCCAACTGATTTTTACAGCTTGTTCTTATGTTGGACTGTTACAACATTGTTCCAGGTTAGAAGAGGATTGGCCGCTAACCAGCTTGTTTAACTGTACCACAAAATATAAGTGACTGTCCCAAGTCCCGGAGTACCCTGTTTTTCAGCGTTTATTGTTCTGTCATGAATCAGGTCGTTGTTTTTTTCTCCTTGAATTGGTATATATTTTGTCATATCGCGGCATTTTAAAGCTGACTATACGATATAAGTTTTACTCGTGTTTGAAATACGCGTCATTTGGATTATGGAGGATAGTTGTCTGACTGGCAATCCGATACTACACCATCTCCTCGAGGACGTATATTAGTTATACGTCCTTGATTTCCTTAAGTTTTACTTTTAGTAATACATAAGAGTTTCTTTTGAAATTGGTAGGTAGCATAATATTCATAGAGGAAAACAAATTTTTTTGTTATGCTATTACGGCAATATTTGCGATGGGTTTCGTTATAATTTGTAATGTTCGGCCATGAACGAAATCAGATTTTTTTTCACAAACAGACCAAATTGGTTGTACGCGCTAACATTTGTTCTCAATCAGCTATAAAAACAAATATCCCTGTATTCAATTGTTTTGTTCATACCCATATATATTTTTTCTCTCTAAGTCATTGCACGTTTAAATCAAATTGGATCTTTTCTTATGAACAACACGTCAATTAAATAATCGCGAAACACATTCGGATTACACTTAAACTTTATATTAAATCATTAGAGAAAAATATTCAACATCTGTATCCCATTAATGATGATTTTTATCCACTCTCGTTTTTTTTTTTAAGTTTTAAATGTTTAAATGTTGAATTACCCGGAAAGCCTCGTCTTTTCAATTGTAAACATTTTAGGGGGAGGGTTTGGCGCCAGCAAACATGTTTAATTCCGCCACATTCTTTATGTGCCTGTCCCAAGTCAGGATCCTATAATTCAGTGATGTCGTTTTTGCTGTATATCATATTTGTTTTTCGTTCATTATTTTGTACATAAATCGGGCCGTTAGTTTTCTCGTTCGAATTGTTTTACAATTGTCATTTCAGGTCCTTTTATAACTTACTATGCGGTATGGGTTTTGCTACTCGTTTAAGGCGTTAACTTCTAGGTCATTTGGTATCTGATGGAGAATTGTCTCATTGGCAATCATGCCACATCTTCTTATTTTTATATTTAATTTCTATCATAAATAACTATCATAAATACAAAAATCTTCCTGTAATGAATTATTATTGTAAAACTGTTAATGCCGGTAATAAACTGTAAGTAAAATTATCAGAAAGAGATCATATTTATACCATCGAATCATATTGATAGTTTACAGAGAGAAAGAAAAAAAAACGAATACAATGCGGCTGTGTCTGCTAATTTCAATATTTTCAGGATTATTACCTACTATATTATATTTAA